TCCTGGGCGGGGATGGGATGGGGTGCTGACGGCGGCTCCCCCGAAGGATGCCCTGTGAGGCGCCTGCCACTCGCAAAGAGTGGGCAGCTCCATCCGAGAAGGGCCGGGAGGACGAGGCTGGCTCATTCGCTGGGGTGCGAGGCTTAAAAGACACCCGCTTTCTGCCGCGGGGCGGGGGGGGAGGGCGGAGAGCATGAAAGGCGACCCTGGTCGTGATTTTAGTTCCTCCGTCCGTTGCAGCCCGCCCGACTTGGAAGCCCTCGGCCTGCCCGGACCGCCTGTCTCCCGCCCTGGGGCTCCGCCTGAGCGCCGGACTGTTTTTCTTCAGCATCTGGTCCAGTGGGCTTTTAAGCACCGGCCTGTTTGGTTTTTAATTGGTTTTCCGCCACGGAGCCTCCTAGGCGGCATCCAAGAAAGTAACTGCAGGAGAGCCCTGTCAGGATTTCCTTGGGGGAAAGTGTCCCTCTGGGAAAGAAAAACAACTTTTGGACCTTTGCGCGGGAGGGTGGCCCGATGAATGACTGCCACGTAAACTCTCACTGCAACCTGCCGGGGGCATTGCAGAAGCCCACGCATGGGGGGAGAGGGAGAGGGCGACGGAGCTTGTTAGCAGGGAAACCGTGTTCGATCAGAGTTTCCCCCCGCCTTGTTTCCCACTTCTGTTTCCAACCATCGGTGCTCTGGCGAAGGATAATGGGAGATTAACTCGAGTCATCTGGAGGACACCAGATTAGGGAAGACCACTTTAAATGCTCCCAAGGAGCACTCATGGCTGTTTTATATTTTGTTTTGTTTTGAACGCTCAGCCAAAGTAGAACGGAAAAAAAAATCTGAGGAATAAATGAAGTAATCTCTCCCTCCATTTCTGGCTATACGAAATCCGGAAAACCGAGAACGAAGAGTGTTAAGTGTTTTTAGAGCTCTTATAAGATGCATTTTCTCTTGGGCCACGTGCTGTAGTTGCTCCAGAACAAGAAAAGCCTCGTGGCAAACTTCCCCAACCTTTTGGCCTCCATATGTGTTGGCTATCGCGAACCATGGTGGCCAGGGAAAATGGACTATGTAATCCAACGTAACGGGAGAACCCGGGGGGGGCGGTGGGACGGGTTTGCCCTCGCCAAGTCCACAAAAGGCGCTTGGTCTGACTCTGGTCCCCAAAGGAAGTGGATCTTGCCCATGGCCCAGCCCTGAATGTGAACCCCGTTGAAGTCACGGGATTTGACCTTGCAGCTCTCCAGACGTGGGGACGGGAGGCGGGCCGAGTGCCTCCCATCTGGCACAGCGTCTGTCCCATCTGCTTCGCCTCTCCCCGAGCCCTGAAATGCTGTTTCCTTTCAAGAGAATGCTTGGAAGCTAGTCCTGCACTTTCCTTCTCCCGATTAAACGACCCAGGCAGGGAGAAGACAACGAATTTTGGACAGCCCCATTCTCAAATTCTTTCGCCCAGAAGACAGAAACTAAATCCAATCTTTGAGATCGCGGGTCCCCTCGCACCTCTATCCACCGCCCCGTTACGCGCCAGTCTGTTTGAACAGCGTGATGCTGAGGCCTTAACCCTCTAGCAAGCGTGTATTAATCGCAGGTTTAAAGGGTTGCATTCGCCTGACACGCTTTGCCACGGTGAGCAAGCGGGGTTATTCACTTAATATTCGCAGGATACATAGAACCAGAAGCAGATCGCTCCGGGGCGCATTACCTCTACTTACTCCTCCTTGGGATTTTCCCCTGCCCCCTCCCCCCCCGCCCCGCCCTCCGGTTGGGGAAGTAAGGAATGGGAAACGATCCTTGCTTTCACGTCTCTCTTTTTTCCTGCTTCAACGGCGGTGCATCGATTCAGGAGATTAGAAGAACGAGCCAAAAGGTCTGGGAACGCAAAGGCAGGAGCAAAAGGCTCCAGGGGGTGGGGAGCAGGTTCCAATCCGGAAGTGCTCACTTAGAAAGGTTTCATCCCCGCGTCCCAAGCAGCCGGAGCCTGTGGGATGGTGCTGTAAAGAAGCGAGCTGGAAACAAACTGATCTGGCAGGCAGGAAGCTCCCTTGTGAAGCGGAGCTGGCGTCTAACGAGCAAGCAAGGCTGCTGCTGAAGACCCAAGCGTGCCCCCCTCTCCTCTGCCCCATTCCCGAGAGATAGAAATAGGGAACCCCAAAACGGGCTGGGAGGCTTTATTATTTCCTCAAACCGAGAGATTGGGGCGGGGGGAGAAAATCGCGTCTGGATTCACGAAATTTGCCACGGAGAATAGCCAACAATAAAGATGCTAGTCCGTAAGACTGTCCTCTTACTGCCGAGCGCGACTATTATTTCTACACAATATTTGCTTTTGCCTGCCCAATTCTGTTTCCTGCATTTCAGCTCTCCGGTCTCAAAACAGGCATCCTCTCGGGCGTGAGCGACCAACCCCTGAGGAAAATCTTCCAAAGGATCCGCAGTAGCTGCAGCGGAGGCTAAGGCGCTCTGTTTTTACTGGCTGTGCATTAGAGGGAATTTCAGTAAATATTGCTTTCTTCTGCATCCCACTTGCTGAAATCATATTGCCAGCTATTCATGCGACAAAGCTTTGCCGGCTTGCATCTGCTTCTGTCAGCCGAGCCAGGTGGAAAAAACCTGATTATTTCGGGTCTAGAGTCACCTTCCTGCTCTGCTGGGGTAGTGAAGCTCAGTAAATAAAACGTTGATGATTCTGCTGTGTCTGCCTTCATCTGTCGCCCAAGCAGTTATGTACATAGGTGTTTGTGCTTCTGGGATGAAAAAATTCTGGGATCAAAAAGGAAAGGGGGGGGTGGAGAGAGAGAAAAAAAACCTTATTCCACACTATACATACCATATTTCTTCCCCATTTTCAAGTGTTTCAGAGGTAGCAGCCACCGGTAGTCAACCAGGGTTCATTCAACCCAATATTCTGAGTTAGTTTATGGACACTCTGAACTCCAAACTAACAACAGGAGAAGGCTTCACACAGCTGACCAAGCTAAACAGAAGATGGCTAGTTGCAAAGAAAGCCCATTCTTATTTTGATTTGTTGGCTTATTTTACAGATATACCACGGAGGTTTTATTGTATGGCTCTGATATTTATTTTCTGCAAACTGCTGAGAGTCCCACTGAAATCAATCAATCGGTCAATCAATCCATTGCTGCCTGCATTTATTCATGGTTATTTGCAACCTTGCAGAGACTGGTATGCTTTAGTTCAACAGGTGCAGCTTTTCCTGGCATCAAACGGAGCTCAGCAAGGGGAAAAAAGGAACCGAAAGGTGTGCCAAGAAATCTCACATTGCTCCAGTGATCCTCTTTTTCCATCTGTGGGTATCAATGTGCTCTGGCTGAAATGTCTGAGCCAGCAGGGTCAGCACTTGTCTGCAGTCGGCTGTTCATTTGGTCGACTCTGAGTTTTTCTCCCTCTGCAGGGCAGCCTTTGTGGGCCACCTTCCAGCCTTCGATGGCCACTGTCCTGTCAGGCTGTCGGCTCTGGGTCCCCCTGTACTTCAGCAGTGCCTGTAAACATCCCCAGGTTTTGATCTGGGGAAACAAACCACCAACTTCCCATGGTTTGCAAGTGATCTTCTGAAAGATTCCAGTCTGTTTATCACTGGGGAAAGTCACTTCACAGTAACAATGTCTATAATTGGATTCTGTTCCGTTTATATTTTCTTTGAAGATAAAATGCCTTTTTTTTAAGCAAAAAGCCTTCCACTTACACAAGGAGGTGATGGGAAGAAGGAGCAAGATTCAGAGGGATTTTCATCAGACTAGGCAGGCATTGGCTTGTTTGATATGAGCTTGAAATGTCTGGCTTCCTCCCTCCCTCCTTGAGAGCATCTCTTTTGAACTGGGAGGGCTGCACCCCCCATGCAAACCCTGTGCAATTCTATTCAAAAATGTGCTCCACTAGGGCTGGGGAATATTTGAAATTGACAAGGGGAGGGGGGGTTCTCTATGTTTCAGGTGCACCCCCCAGCTGATACCACAACACCTGGAAAAATCCCAATGTGGAAGCATGGAAGCAGCTGGATCTGCCTCCTCCTCCTCCTCCTCCTCCTCTGTCTCCTTCCCCTTCTCCTTCTCCTTCTTCACAGCTGGATTTTGAATTCTGCCCTTTCTCCTGTTGAATTTGGTGGCCCTTCATTTCTTATTTGATGAGCATGCTGAACACTAGATTCACCAAACAGGGAAAGATCCGTGCAAAAACCTAGATTAATTTTATTTTCAATTTAAACTCAGTTACAAAACAGATACAATGAAAAAGGACTATTTCCTGGGTTTCAATTACAGTATCTCCTCTTCTGTTGCATTAAAACTTTCAGCTCAGCCTGATCAGTTTTAGATTACTCAATAAGCAAATCACAGCTTAGTGTGATGTCTAAATGCAGTAAATGTAGACAGTAAATACTGTTTCCAGCAAAACAGTCACCCAACTAGACTTCTTCAGTGATTCCAGTTGTGTATTAAGAGACCCTGGTGGTGCAGATGTGGAAAAATTGGAGAGGTATTTGACCAATGAAGCTTTACAGTGTTTTGCTTTTCTGAAAGTGAACCCTTATGTATGTGGCCCTGCACTGTTGACAGCTGTAGGTTGCACCAGTTTATGAATGACAATCATTCTTAAATTGTGTTAGCGGTCTTCACTTTATATAGTGACCTTAAGGAAAAGTATTGTAAATGTTAAGTTTTTCAGCTCTTCTGACTACCCCTCATTTACTAGTGAGGAAGCACAGAGATACATTCAGTAACGAATGGGAGAATTCTGATCTAATTCTGGTTTTCTGCATTTCTAGCCTATTGCTTGCTAGTCACTTTTCAGAATGCAAGTGAACAATAATGACAGTGCAGGGGACTGCCCTTATTACAACACATAAAAAAGCTTCTACCTTTTAATAAAAAAGCTTAGTCAGAAAAGGAGCTACCAGATTCCTCCAATTCTTCCCAGAGAAATCTTGATGGTAAAGAGTCAGAACTGGACCTGACACAGGGCAACTTCCTAGAGGTCGCTTTGAAGAATCCTCATTCTTAGGAGTTAGGATTCCTTCTAAGTAAACTTCAGTTTTCTAATTCCATGTTTTGTTTCATTTGAAAGCCAACTGACTATTTGTTCCCTTTCTCTTTGCTTTAGATCATAAATATATTCAACTGAGACTTGGACTTCACTGAGCCTCTGGTTGGTCTCCCAGATGAGCTGCTTACTCTTTGGAAGAGATTTAATGAAGCTCTACCTTTTTCTGTAGGTACAATAAGCCTGGATATGTACCTATTCAAAACAATCATTATTTATCTTGTGAATGGTGACAGGGAACAACCCTAAATCAACAGCAAAGTGTACCTTGCAGCTTTTGTAACTTTGCAGAGAATGGAGAAGCTCATTTATTATACCCATGCAAATACTGTATACTACGTGAAGATAGGTAGGCATTTCCTGCTTCCATGGTGATGTGAAATTTCTAAGAAGCAAAACTTATCCAGGGATTGCTAGAGATTTAATGATACTTATAGCGTTATATGTACTTGCAAATTATTAGTTGGCAATAAGGGAGATAAATGTACAGTACAGCAAACAGTTTCAAAATGCCCTGTTCCTACATCAAATCTGCACAAAGAAGTCTCCTTACATTCTCAAGTGCTAGTAACCGACAGAGATAAACATTTATCTCAGAGCTCTCAGATCTTCTGGAGCCACTGAACCATAAGTATACCAAAACAAAAATACTGAGGACAGATTTTACATCACTTTAGGGATGGCTGGGTGATACGACAAGGCATTAAAAAGTCACTAGTGGAGAAGGTGTCTGTAGTGCTCAGAGTCTTCAAAAAATATTTTTTACCCTTCTTTCTTTTTTATTTCTCTCTCTCTCACACACACGCACACACACAAACTCACACATCTTGTAATATCAACTTTGAGCTTCTCCCCATTGGTCTCTAATCTCATCTCTTCTGCAAGACACTTATCAGATCTGTATTTGTCTGCATTTGGATTATTGTGTTTCCATCCATTTTTTTTGCTCCACAAGCTCAAGTTGGTATACGGAGCAGTTCTGCTTCAAATCTGGGCTTTCCTAAATTTTATACCTTGGATTCAGAGGTTTTATACAGTTTAATTTTTGAATTGATAGGTCTGAAGGGTTTTTTCATGCTTATTTTTTATTGATAGTATGCCATTCCCTTGGTTAAATTTAAATTCTGATGCATACCAAGAATGCTGTCCAACTCCTTTTCTTTTAATCTAGCTTTGAATCTCTTACCCATAGCATTAGAGCAATTGTGAAAATATTAAAGGGATATAAGATAATTATATGGATAATTTCTAATGTGACTAAATTAATATATGGGTTTGGTATCTTGTCTGGTTATTCTGTAAACTGGCATAAAAAGGATCCTACTGAATTACTGCAATAATATTGACAAATATAAGTATCAAGGTTTTAAGTTGTGTTCTGATTCTCTATCATAGTACAAAGAAACTCAGGCACCTTTCTCAGTTGATAAATTTACACTTATTCCTGTTTGGATTGAGATTTAAAAAAGGTCTAGATCAATTATCTAGAATTCCTTTGACTTTGGGGGTAAAATAAATGAGATTAATTTAACTGAGTCTGATTTACATTTTAAAAGATCATCCTATTTTTATTCCATCACATTACTTTAAGCAAATTAAAGTAATTTATGGGAGACTAAATACTTTATTTTATTTGAAAAGCTGGATTTAATTTTCCACACTTTCAGGTTTAACATTATTTTAGCATCAGTTAGTGAATGAAATAAGAATCAGAATCAGAATTCATTTGCTCTTTGACTCAACTATTTGATTCTGTTCCTATCCTGGGAAATACTGGGATTTTTGTCTCTATGGGTTAATGCTGCAAGATATATTTGGAGAATACTGGCAACATTTGTCTTTTATTCTTTTATCACATTGAACGCTTCAGAGAATGCTTAATAAGGATGAGATGTAATCATCTTATTGTTGGAGTTGCAATTTAGAAGTTAGAACAATAACCTGTATAGTTTCAGCTTGTTTCATTATTTTCACAATTGAGGTTGAAATCAACAAGTTTGTACTGACTCTTTTTTGATCATTGTGTGTTAAGGATGAGTATGTCCTTCTTGACTATCTGAATTTATCAAAAGATGAAAAAATGTAGATTTTCAGGCCTAGGGACTGGTCAAGAGAATTGTTGAATAGCCCTGGAACAAGAAATCTATACCTGATTTGTAGCAATGGATTGAATTACAGTATTTAATAACATTTGAATTAGATGATTTATTCCTCCCCCTCCTCCTCTTCTAGCTTTGGAGCAATACGGTTAAATTTCTAAGACTTTGCTTGTTATTATTATTACTACTGCTATATATTTTCTTCTAAAGAATGCTCAGCAAATGTTGGTGGTTTAGGATCAATTCAAGCTTTATTCAGATTCTACAGTTATGGTGCCTAATGC